TACTGAGGGACACCTAGGTTGGTTCCATAGTCTAGCTATTGTGAATTGAGCTGCTGTAGTGGCTGTGTCACTATAGTATGCTGATTTTAAGTCCTCTGGGTATAAGCCAAGGAGTGGGAGAGCTGTATTTTTTTTCTATTTGTTCTAATTAGTTACACATGACAGCAGAATGCAAAAATTCTGACAAATAGAGTATGACTTGTCATTCACCTGGTTGGACATGATGTAGAGTGAGGTCCTGTGATCATATATACACATGGGAAATGATGTTCTGGCTGTTTTTAATATGTGTTATCTCTGCTTTTAATCTGTTCCATAAGGATGTGTCTGGGCCTGTATTTCTGAGTTCATCTAATTGGGATTTACTGAGATTCTAGAACTTACAATTAATGTCCTTTGACAAATTCAGGAGATTTTCAGACACTATTTTATTTTATTTTTAGCTGTAGATGGACAGATGCCTTTATTTTATTTATTTATTTCTCTGTGGTGCTGAGGATGGAACCCAGGGCCTCACACGTGCCAGGCAAGCGCTCTGCCACTGAGCCCCAGCCCATCCCCAGTCATTATTTCATGAAATTTTTTTCTGTATTTTACCTTCTTACCTGGTGGTGCTTTTGTGGACACCGGGCCGTAGAGTCCTGGAGTGACCTTGCAGAGTGGGTTACCCATGGACACTTTGTAGCAGGGCAAACTGAGGCCCCTGGGCTGCAGGCATGACCCTGGGGTTTGAGGGTCCCAGGTGGGCACTCCATTCTTGGTGGCAGAGGGACAGTCACTGGTGAGTGGCTGTGGGCCTCCTTCCTGGTGGCAGAGGGACAGTCATGGTGAGTGGCCATGGGCCTGTTCTGTTGCAGAGGCTGTGCACCCCCTTCTACTGCAGGTACCGCTTCCACAAGACCTTGGTGCACAGGACTGAGGAGCGGCCCCACGGGACCCATGTTTACTTCGAGGACATCAATGTCATCTGCCTGGGAGCCATACACCCCAGTGACCTGCGGGAATACCTGGAGGGTCCCCCCATGGTGGTGGAAGTCCACGATCGGGACCGTAAGTCAGACGAGTCCTCCTGCAGGCCCACCCTGTTTGGGGAGGAGCCCCTGGATTCCCACGGGAACATCCAGTCCTTCATCTCCTCCAAGGAGACGGAGGACAACCCCTTCCAGCCTCAGAACAAGACCTGGGACTCTCACGGAGTCACCCGGGTCAGTTTCATGGACCTCTTCCTTGGCCACAAGTACCTGAACCTGGTGGTCCCCATCCAGCGCTGCGAGCTCAAGGCCACCCCCGGCCTCCAGGGCAGCCAATGCAGGAGGGTCTTGAGGTTCCACCGAGGTCCTCGAGCACAACCTAATGCCCGCTGGAAACTACTTGGAGGCCAACTCATTGCTCAAACTGCGAGTGGATGTGGCAGTGCCTCTGAGGACCTGGGCCAAAGCCCAGGGTGTGGATTTCCTGGGCAGCCACTTTGGCCACATCATGTTTGTGTTCAGTGCCAAAGAGCTGTTCCTGCTGCACAGTCTGCTGAAGGACATCACCCTGATCAACGCCAAGGCCCTGGAGCTGGACTCCTACCCCACCGGGACTGTCCAGCAGATCCTCCCAGCCTTCAAGATGCGGGTCAACATCCAGCATCAGGAGCATCTGGACATCCTGACCGGCTTCCACCTGCTAGATGGGAACATCCACCTCTTTGTTCTGGAAGGCTTGGCCAACGGGGGCCTGCGGCAGCTGTGGAAGAACCACCAGAGCCAGTAGGTGGCATCTGAATGAGGAAGGAGCCTCATCAAGGCCCAGGGAGGCTGAGGATCACAGATTGGAGGCCAGCCTCAACAACTTAGCAGGATGCTGTCTCAAAATCAAATAAGAAGGGTTTTATTTTGTGGTGAAGCACCCCTGGGTTCAATCCCCAAGACCAATAAATAAATAACCCAGTTACATGATTCTGACACCATGATCTGCTGCCCCCAGGAGCAGGAGCCTGGCCTGTTTGTACCATAGCTGGAGTGACCTCTGAGTGCCTGAATGGCTGAGCAGGGTGAAATGACCCTCGTCTGGGGAACAGCTTCCTATGTGGCCTGGTGGGAACAGGGGACCCTGGCTCTCTCTTCTGATAGCACAGTCTTTCAAACAAGTTGACCCTTTTACCCCCTTGAGCCTACAATGAGGGTATCATATTTTAAATTTCAGTTGCCAGGTATTTATTGCTGGTAATATGGCAATCTGGTTAATTTGTGTGTATCTTGTATCCTGATTTGATAATTATTTATTATTATTGCTATTTTTTTTGGTACCAGGGATTGAACCTAGGGATGCTCCACCAGTGAGCCACGTCCCACCCCTGTTTTGCATTTTATTTAGAGACAAGATCTCGCTGAGTTGCTCAGGGCCTCGCTAAGTGGCTGAGGCTAGCCTCCAATTTGCAATCCTCCTGCCTTGGCATCCAATGTCTACCTCCCCAAATCACTGAGATTATAGGTGAGGGCAACAGCCGGCCACAGTATCCTTGAGTTTAATCCCCAGTACTAAAAAAAAAAAGTAAGAAAAGTGAGAACAAAACTTATTTACAATGTGTGGAACATAGTAGTAGCCTGAAAATATAAAGAGTTCTATGAATCAATAAGAATGATCGAAACATCCCAGAAGAATGGGTGAAAGAATGATTCCAACAAGTTCTTCACAGAACAAGTTCCTACCAATGACCACACCTACGGGCCCTGAACTGGGATACAGGGTAGGCGTAAATGTTACCAGGTTCAGCATGCTGGGCATGGTGGTGTGCTCCTGTCATCCCAGTGGCTCAGGAGGCTGAGGCAGGAGGATTGCAAGATGGAGGCCAGCCTCAGCAATTTAGCCAGGCCCTCAGAAACTCAGTGAGACCCTGTCTCTAAATAAAACATAAAAAGGGCTGGGGATGGGGCTCAGGGGTTAAGAGGCCCTGGGTTCTTTCTGTCATGGGTTTTCGACAAGCAAAGACAAAATAAAATGTCATATAAAATAAAACAGGACTGAGGTCGTAGGTCTGTGGGAAAGCCGCTGCCTAGCCCGCAGGAGGCCCAGGTTCAACCCTCAGAATTGCAAAGTGAATGAGTGAATGAATGAAAACATAAATAAATAATCTGAATTGCTCAGGGCCTCGCTAAGTGGCTGAGGCTGGCCTCCCACTTGCGATCCTCCTGCCTCAGCCTCCGGAGCTACTGGGATGACAGGTGTAACCTAAGTCCACACTTCTAAACTGTAAACTGTGAAGTAATTACAGACTCACAAGTTGTAACAATTAATAGAGTTTCTAGATCCCTTCCCCGGTGGCCCGTGGGGACATCTTCCATAACCACACTGCTTTACTGGGTGTCACCTGTACCTAAAGTGATGGAAAAATCTTTTTGTTTGCTTGGTTTTCTGGTCCTGGGAGTTGGACTAGAGGCCCTACCCTGAGCCTGCAGTGTGCCCAGTGACCCCTGGCCGGTGTCCCTCTCTTTCAGAATCCCCATGTTGGAGCTCAGGAAATACAAAGTGCTCTACAACTCGCAGCTGCTGATCTGCCACCGCCTCTACGCGGACCTGGAGACCGTCCTGCACCACGTGCACCTCTTCAAGCCCCTGTCGCTGCTCATGCGGCATCCGGGGCTCTACCTGCGGAACGCCATACCACACAAGGCCTTCCAGGAGCTGGCCAGGTGGGGGCCTGCTCTGCCCCTGAGCCTCAGCCTCTGCCCCAGCCTCAGCCCCAGCCCCTGAGCCTCAGCCTCTGCCCCAGCCTCAGCCCCAGCCCCTGAGCCCCAGCCTCAGCCCCTTTTTGTATTTTATTTAGAGATAGCATCTTGCTAAGTTGCTGAGGGCCTTACTCAATTGCGGAGGCTGGCCTCCAACTTGCGATCCTCCTGCCTCAGCCTCCCTAATTGCTAGGATTACAGATATTAGCCACTGAGCCTGGCAAAGGGGAGTTTTGGGGGTTGGGAAGGCAGGATGACTGGTGGCCCAGTCTTCTGAGATCTGCTCAGAAATCAGGCTACAGCCATATTACCATTCCCGGTGGAGGAGGATTCTGAGTATACCACTGGCCATCTTGCTAGGGATGCTCTCCATGGGCTGTTGAGGGTCATGGATGAGACTGTGGCTCAGTCAGCTTTTTCTGTGCTGTGACTCAAGGACCCCCCAGCACAACTGCAGAGGGGGACAGTGGACGTGGGGCTCAGGGTGTCACAGGTCCCAGCCCACTCCTGAGCCGAGGGGAGGCAGGACATCATGGAGGAAGAGTGTGGGGAGGGAGCAGCTCCCATGGGGACCAGGGAACAGGGACTCCACTCTCCAGGGACAAAGAGAGCCCCAAGCCACGGCCCCAGGGCCACCTCCTCCCCCACACCTCACCTGCCTCCAGGGGCCACCAGGGGACCCCCAGGGAGCCATTCCCTGCCAGGGTTCAGGCCTCGCAACCCCTCACTCCTCCTCTGGACCTTCCTGCATCGCCTCCCATGGGGGCTCTGGGGACACCCCACAGCCACAGCAGGACAGATCACAATCAAAGAAGAGCATTCATATTAGAGCACGAGTAGCCAATAAATTCTTGGGAGTCAAAGGAGGAAGGATGCCAGTGCAAACCTGTCATCCCAGCTGCTCAGGAGGCTGAGGCAGGAGGATCGCAAGGTGGAGGCCAGCCTCAGCAACTTAGCGAGGCCCTGAGCAACTCAGCGAGACCCTGTCTCTAAATAAAATATAAAATATGGAGAGGGAAGAAGGGATTCTCCAGGAAGGAGTCCAAGCAGATCAAACTAGACCTGAGCACTTCATTTATGACCTGGCACCAGCTAATCAGCCTCTCTTGGGTTTTATGTCCTCCATAAAATAGGGGTGACTGACCCCGTCTCTCAAGGCCCATGAGGCTGAGTGGGGTGTTCTTCATTCCAGAATCTACAACATCTGCTACCACAGTACCAAGTTCAGGGAGGTGATCATCAGAGACTTGCTACCTTCGTCCACCATGATCAAAGACTTGAGCCAAGAGTTTGGGCTCCCCATCTCTCAAGAGGACCTCATGGATCAGAAGCTACCTATCATCTCCCCTCAGCCCACCCCCAATATTGAAGAATCCCAAAGTCAGGTATCCACCCTCAATTCCAAGATCCTTGCCCACCAGGAGAAGTACCTGCAGTGGCGGAACAACATGCTCCTGATGACGAGAGAAGGACTACCTGATCAAGGTGGGCCTGCCTCCTCCCTCCACATCCGGGCTCCCAGCTCACCAGGGCTGTCTCCACCTGCTGGAGAGATTCTTCTTTTGGTTCTGGGGATTGAACCCAGGGGTGCTTAACCCCTGAGGCCTGTCCCCAGCCCTTTTTATATTTTATTTAGAGACAGGGCCTCCCTGAGTTGCTTAGGGTTTAGCTAAGTGGCTGAAGCTGGCCTCCTACTTGTGATCCTCCTGCTTCAGCCTCCGGAGCCACTGTTGTGAAACTAGGTTGGGTTTTCAACCACCGAGCCATATCCCCAACCCAATTTTATTCTCTCTCAACTGCTTTGATTAGTTTAGCTCCTTTGGATTTCCACATAAATTTTAGGATTGTCTTGCCAGTTTCTACAAAATGTCCATGAGGATTTCCTAGGCACTGTGTGGACTCCAGATCCATTTGGGAAGCATTGCTATCCTAGTGGTTTGAGGACTGCCATTGATAATATGGAATATCTCTGCTGTGATTTAGGTCTTCTCTCCCTCAGCCATTTCTGTGGCATATAAGTATCAGACCTCTTTTTGAGAAAATAATACTGTTATATATTGAGTTTTAAAATTTTTTGTGTCACTAGAATATAGAAATATAATGAAATTTTATTATTCATCTTGTATCCTGTAACCTTTTGAAATTGGGTCATCTGTATTAATCTGTTTTCTGTTGCTATAACAAATCACTGGAGGCTGGGAAACATATAAAGGAAATAGGTTCAGTTAGATTAATTTTGGAGGAGGAAAGTCTAATCTGGATGGCCCCACTAGTTTGGCCTCTGCCAAGGGCCTCCTTAGCCACATCACCACAGGGCAGATGGTATCACAGGGGTAATACCTTCACGAGGGAGGGATCAGATGGCAAGATGGGAAGCCACAGAGGAGGGAGGGATCAGTCTTGATCTCCTTCTAACAACTCGTGTGTGGCCACATCTGGGCTTCTGAATGATCCCCAGTGTCCTTGCCTGAGGTTCTGTCCGGCTCCCCCCCGACAGGATTCATTTGATTGGCATGTAACTGGGGTACCTAAGAATGGGATCCAGTGTGATGACATTTCATCATGTGCATATGGCACGCACTGATCACCCCCTTTAGCAATCACTATTTTACATTCAGGTCAATTTTGATTTTTAAACTTCTACATATGGTGGAGAACATGCCCTATACCTGTCTGTCCATGTTTAGCACTTATTTCACTTGACACGATGTCTTCCAGGTTCATCAATTTGATTGCCAAATCACAGGATTTCATTCTTGATGGCTGAGTAATATTCCATTTTGTGTGTGTGTGTGTGTGTGTGTGTGTGTGTGTATCAGCCTAAGTACCCACTGACAAATGAATTGATAAAGAAAATAAGAAAATGTGTGTATGTGTGTACACACCTCTCATCCCAGTGACTCAAGAGGCTGAGGCAGGAGGATCTCAAGTGGGAGACCAGCCTCAGCAACTTAGTGAGGCCCTAAGCAACTCAGTGAGACCCTGTTTCTAAATAAAATATAATATAAATACACACACACACACTTTTCTTTATCCATTCACCTGTCAGTGGGTTCCTAGGTTGATTCTTTATCTTAGTAATTGTGAATAGGTCCATAACAGACATGAGGTGTGGGGGTACTTCTTTGGTGAGCTGATTTCATTTCTTTTGGAGACATACCCAGAAGTGGGGTAGCTGGATCACATGGTAAATCTATTTTTAGTTTTCTGAGGAACCAGATTAATAATTATGGTTGTATTCTTGATTTACACGCCTAATAGCAGTGAACAAGTTCCTTTCTCTCCACATCTGAACATTTGTTATTTTTTTTTAAATAACAGCCATTCTAATTGGGGTGAAATGATCATCTCATTGTAGTTTTGATGTGCATTTCCCTGATGGCTAATGATATTGACCATGTTTTAATATATTTCTTGACCATTTCACCACCTCCTCCTCCTCCTCTTTCTTATTTTATTATTATTATTTAGTACTGGGATTGAACCCAGGGGTGCTTTTATCACTGAACTACATCTTCAACCTTTAATTTTTTAAAAGAATTTTGAGACAGGGTCTCACTGAGCTTCACAGGCTGATCTGAACTTGCAGTCCTCCTGCCTGAGCCTCCTGAGTTGCTGGGATGACAGGCACATGCCCAGTTGCATTTCTTCTTTTAAAAAAGTATCCATTCAGATCATTTGCCCATTTTTCAATTGGATTTTTTTTTTGGTGGGGGGGATACTGGAGAGTGTACCCAGAGGATCTTAACCCCTGAGCCACATACCCAGCCCCTGTTTTTGTTATTGTTAATATTTTATTTAGAGACAAGAGTCTTGCTGAGTTGCTTAGGGCCTCTCTAAATTACTGAGGCTGGCCTCCACCTTGTGATCCTCCTGTCTCAGCCTCCTGAGTCACTGAAATTTCAGGTGTGTGCAATGCACCTGGCCTTTTTGGTTGTTTTTTAAGTATATCTTTATGAATGAACACATCTCAGTTTGTTGTACGTCTTTGTTCAGTTTCCAGTGCTTGCTTTTGACAGTTTTTTCATTGTTTTCTTTTTTCTTCTTTCAGGGCTGGGATGGAGCCCAGGGTTTCCTGGGTAAGTGATCCGCCATTGAGCCACATCCTTGGTGCAAAGACTGAGCTCTCAGGAGGATGGATTTTCTGAGCTCCTTATTCCATTCACCCTATGAGTCCTACCTTTCTCCTGCTCAACTATGAATTTTATTCCCGTCTTTATTGCTCCAGATTTTTGGAGTCTATTTTATCTTTTTATCTATTTTATCCTTTGCTTTACTTTGTGATTTTCCTTTCATAAGGGTAAGAATGGTTCCCATTTGTTGCAGGTATAAGGTCTGCCTTTTTTTCTGTCACTTGGACCACAGGTGTACTGTTTATGGGTGCACATCCCCACTCCTCTATCCACCCCAAACTCCACCGCTTTCTAGAATCAAGGGCTGCGGAGAAGTCTGATGCCTTCCTGATTTGTTTCTCCTTTCAGCTAAATAAACCATTTCTTTTAGAGCTCCCCACCTCTAGGTGGGGCTTAAAAATAAAATCCTTTAAAGCCAGGCACAGTGGTGCACGCCTGTCATCCCAGCAGCTCAGGAGGCTGAGGCAGGAGGATCGCAAGGTGGAGGCCAGCCTCAGCCACTGAGCAAGGTGCTAAGCAACTCAGTGAGACCCTGTCTCTCAATAAAATATAAAAAAAGGGCTGGGGATGGGGCTCAGGGGTTAAGCACCCCTGGATTTACACCCCCAAAATTCTTTAAAAGTGTTTTTTCTTCCCCTCCTGTCCCCAAGGCCAAGATGATGTGGATCTCAACTGCCCTGGACAAGGGTGTCCACAACTACAGTGTCATGACCTTCAACTCCACTGTGCTTGCCAAGAAGGAACTGTATCAAGAGACTGGCCAAGGTGTGTGACAGTCCCCAGTGAGACAATGGCGGTTGGCTAATCCCCTGACCCTTTCCTTTCTGACCACAGGTCAGCGGGCGACCTAGGTGTGCAGACAAAAGCCAGTTAGTGGAACAAGAAATGGGGTCAGGTGCTGGGAGAATTTGGTGTCACACTAGATGTGAATGCTCAGCACATGCTCCGATCCATGGCTGAGAACCACTGTAGGTTCCTTGGCTCTGGTGAGGGCTTTGGTGTGACCATTTATGGAAGGCGGTTGTCACCTGGAAGGAAATGCGTTGGTTCAGGTCTCAGCACCCACTATGTGTAGGTAGCAGTTTCATACGTTAAAGGGGACAGTAAATATGGCCTCTACGGGGTCAGGAGCTGTCGTACCCTTAGCTGTTTCCAGTGCCCACTGGGATTCCTAATGGCCACTCAGCCACATCCAAGATGGCACCCGAGTCCTCTCTCCAGCCCGCCTGCCTCTGCCACATCCAAGATGACGTGGGTCTTCTCTCCAGCCCGCCTGCCTCTGCCACATCCAAGATGGCGTGACTCTTCTCCTCAGCCTGCCTGCCTCTCTTTCCTAGGAGCCAGGGAGGAGGTTCACATACTCACAGAACTACCTGTCTGCCATTGTGGAGCCTCAGGACTCACAGGAAGAGAAGAAAGCCCAGGAGAAATCCCGCCAGGCCTGGCTCAGGGTCACTGGATTCCAAGTGACAGGTCTCCATGGTGACATCCTCCATCAGGATTTCCCACTGCCAGCCATCGGAGAGTTCCATGAGGTTTGTGAGAGGAGCATGGCTGTAGGTGGGCCTCCAGATGGCTTCTACCATCATCTCCAGAGGGGCCTCCTTCCTCTGAACCTCCTTGTCCCTGCCCCCGACTCAGGAGTGGCAGGAACATGAGGTGCTCGATCACCTGCTGTACCCCATGTTGCATCGGGGCCAGTGGAGCTGGGACCGGCGCCACCTGGACTTTGAGCTGTACAAGAAGCCACCGCCTTTCCTGGAGGTGCCCCCTCCTCCGACCTGGAAGCCTGTTGCAGGTAACTAGGGAGACCTTGCCCAGCTGGTAGGCTGGAGGGGGGGACCCTGGCCCTTGGTCGCATCTTGAGCACCATCTGTTTGGTTCCAGGTGTCCACCTAGAGTTCCCAGGCTAGGTCTCCTGGTACAGAAGGGTCTTGGGCTGTCCCAAGGGCTGGAACTCAGCTGTGGATTCCAGCCCCAGGTGTGACACCCAATGTGAGGTAAAGCCCCCCTGCTTTCCAGTGTCCTCCCAGCTCCAAGATGCTGCTGGACCTCCCTCTGTGGGGAAGAGAGGGAAAGAGCAGGGGAATCACCCCACCAGTCCCCCCAATTCCTTCATCTCGTTTCTGGATTTTTTTCGGGGGGGGGGGTTGTGCCAGGGATTGAGCTCAGAGGCCCTCTACCATGGAGCCCCATCCCCAACCCTACTTTGTGTTTTATTTAAAGACAGGGTCTCACTGAGTTGTTCAGGGCCTCACTTTTGCTGAGGCTGGCCTCCACCTTGCGATCCTCCTGCCTCAGCCTCCAGAGCCACTGGGATGACAGGCCTGCCCTCCCCATGCCTGGCCTCCCTGTTTTGGAAGAGTGGCCTCATCATCATTGAAAGGCATCACTGAAACATAGAACCCAAATTTGTTGGTTTGCAGAGACAGAAGTTTGTTTTAGGAGGGAGAGATGAGTTTATCGAGCCACAAGTTGGCCAGAAAAAATTCCTCTGGGGAGCTAGCTCAACACAAGAGCTCTGAGCAGGAAGAGCAGGTCCCAGTGACTCGGAAGGAAGGCCACTGTGTCCTGGTGCCTGGACTTGGCTCCTTCCCTCCCAGGTAAGCCCTGGGCCTTCGGAGTTTGGAGAAGAGGAGAGCCGGCCAGTGTGGGAACACAAGGCCTGTCAGCGGGACTCCACGGCCAGCCTTCCCAGGTAAAAAGGACGACTGAGAAAAGGAGGCTGGAGTGGCCTGTCCTCCGCTGCATCAAGTTCAAGAAACATCACAACCTGTGAAGTGAAAAGGGGGACCTAGACTGTGGCTATGCCTCTGAAGCCCCACGGGGTGAGCAGAGAACTGGCGCCACCAACAGGAGCCCTCAGGGCCCAGCAGTGGTGTAGTGTCTATGGCCCTTTCCAAGTTTCTCCTGTTCAAAGGAACTCTGTGCAGCCTCCTGTCCCTGGCACTGTGCACTCTCCGTTTTGTGCCCAAGGTCTCTTTGCCATCACTAAACACAAGCTAGGAAAACAAAACTGAACAAGAAATTTAGGTTTCAGCAGAGTGCAGTGGGGCACGCTTGTAATCCCAGTGGTTTGGGAGGCTGAGGCAGGAGGATTGCAAGGTGAAGGCCAGCCTCAGCAATTTGGCAAGGCCCTGAGCAACTCAGTGAGACCCTGTCTCTAAATAAAACATAAAAACAGCTGGGGACAGGGCTCAGGGGTTAAGTGACCTTGAGTTTAATCCCTGGTACCAAAGTCACAAGACTTTTAGTCACCCAAACCGGAAGAACGCCCTAGCTTGGCCCACGGAGCCCTGGGTTCTCTGCATTTCCACTCTTCTTGGGGACCAACCACCCTCACAGCACAGGGGGACTTGGAGCCCCAAGTCACCCAGGGGTGACAGGAGCTTAAAGCCCACCAGGTGAAGCATGGGACCCCTCATGGCTTGCAGATGCTACCAGATGGTGGCCGAGAGAAACACAGAGGCCTGTTGAGGCCACCTACAGACGCCCCTTACCCTCTTCAGGAAGGGAGGCTGGTCCTTGCAAAGACACTGAGAAGCCCTGCATGGGCATGAGGTCCCGCTGCGGCCACCAGAAGGACCCAAGAGAAGGGACACTTGTGGAGCCCTGAGGTCAGGGACCAGGCCCTGACCTCTGGTGTTTGGGGCCCTCTTCTATTGGGGTGAGTGAGGACAAAGGGCTCAAAAAGCCACTGTCAAAGGGTGGCTCTCAGGATCATGCTGGTGTCCCTTAAAGGCTGGCTCTGAAGAACGAGGTGACTCAAGGCCAGAGGGGACACAGACTGTGATATTTTATATTCCTTTCTGTTGAACACTTCCCAGCACGTGCTGTGAGGGCATCTGCCTCCTACTTGGAGGTGACAAGGGCACTGTTTCCCAGCTGTTGCTTGACCCTGTGGCTTGGTAGCAATGGCTGCCCGAGCCTCAGATGTCCGCCAGCTTCCTGCCACCAGCATGTCCCCAACCACCAGCACAATGGCGACACTGGTGACAGCGATTCTCTTCCCTGCGTCTTTGCTCAGGAGCTGCGGTGTAGCCTCCTGCAGGACCTGCAGTCCACACCAGCGGGTGCACACGGGGACAGAGGGTGGGACTTGTGACTTCCTGCAGTTCTCCACCTTCTGAAAAGAGGGTTGTCTAGTGTCAGCTGAGGCCCGGGGGCAGGGACACTGTCCTAGCGTCAGGACGTTCTCTCCAGAGGGTGGGCGCAGATGTAGGTCCGCTTCTCAAGGATCTCCCTGGACACTTTCTTAATTTGCTCATCCAAGTTCTCTGGAGCATCTGGGAGGGAAGAGAGGGACGGGGTGACCCTCCTTCTGCCCTGTGATGACACAAACAGGGCTGGGGGGCGGTGTTCTCAACCCCCCACTGTGCAGCTCAGGGGAGGGGGAGAGGCTTCATGCTGAATTAAAAAGGGCTCCTCCCAGTCTCTTTTTTTGGTACTGGGGACTGAACCCAGGGGCCCTTGACCCCTGAGCCACCTCCACAGCCCTACTTCTATTTTATTGAGAGACAGGATCTCCCTGAGTTGCTTGGGGCCTTGCTTTGGCTGAGGCTGGCCTCCACCTTGCAATCCTCCTGCCTCAGCCTCCTGAGCTGCTGGGGTGACAGGTGTGGGCCACCGTACTTGGCTTATCCTATTTAAAATGCCCAGACTGTAAGGGGCTAGGAGTGGGGAGAGGATCCTGATCAGGAAATGGCCAAATGGAGGTGAAACCGTTTCATCCACCTTCTGTCACATATGGCAGCCCTATGGTGAGCCTGGCCAGCCCCCAGCACCAGGGACCACTAAATGTCACTGGCCAATGTCCTCGCCATCGACAACAGACCTGGGCTCGGCACTGATGCTGATCCAGAGCCTGCAGCCAACAGGACCATGAGGGTTGGAGGAGACCCTGAGTGACACGTTCCACGCTGTGGCCCAGGGGGAGGGAGGTGGCCAGGCACTCAGGGCAGCAGGCACCAAGGGGCATCTCCAAGGGTGGAGGCCTGTATAAAGCTATGTCCTCGTGACCTCCTCTGGGCAGGTGCCAGGACAGGGCTGGGCACTGTGGCAGGTGTGTCTCAGCCGGTCTCTAGATGGCAGGAGGCCATGGGGGCAGACCAGGCCTGGAACCCGTCCTGTCCCCACTTACACTTGTCTAGCTGCGACAGGCTGAAGAGGTTCTGGACGTAGGCCTCCGTGCAGAACATGTTGGCCAAGAGGATCTGTGGGGGCCGGGGTCAGAGAGGACAGCTGCTCAGGGCCCTGGAGCTGACCCAGCCCTTGGCCCAGCGGGCCCACAGGCCTGGCTCAGGACTTCAGTGACCCCTAGCCACTCTGTCCCCTAGCGCGGGCTCCTCAGCCTCTGAGATGTGTGCTCCCTCTCCCGTGAGGTGGACGGCCACCCCACTGACCATTCTGCCTGTGCCCTGGGCCAGCGCACACGTGGCACGCAGGTGGACCGGTCACTTCGCCCCTTTCTTCTCTCAGGTAGGGGACCAAAGACGGCACATGGCCGGTTTCCTGGGCGGCAAGGACTGTCCTGTGGCCACAGTATGGCAAGCCTGCCCAGCCTCCCGAGTGGCACCCTGGTGCGCTTCAGAACCTTGGCCTCTTCCAGTGACTGCCTGCACACGCCATGGGCCCTAGCTCACCCGGCCCTCCTGTCCCAGAAGTCCTTGGTGGGGCTGCATCACCCGGGCCTGGGCTTCCCCAGCCACCAGCTTTATTAAAGTGCAGCAGGACCAAAGGCCTGGCTCACAACTCCCAGCCCCACGTCTCCCTGCGGCTGCCACCTGTGCATGTTCTGTCCCCAAGACGAGCTGCTGGACTGTCCAGCCTGGCTCGCTGCATGGGGCCAGGGTGGGCTCACCTCGCGGTCGTGGTTCCGGAGTCCGATGCGGATGGAGCGGCTGGCCTGAGACAGCACGGCCATCCTGCCGTACAGGTTGATGAGGACGTTGGCCACCCGCTTCAGCACCAGCTGCTCCTCCAGGACAGTCTGCGGACGAGGCTCAGCATGGAGACCAGCCACCTGGTCACCTGGCCCTGCCCCCCGGACACACCTCTCTTTTTTTTTGTCCCAGGGATTTAACACAGGGACACTTGACCCTGAGCCCTGTCCCCAGCCCCTTTTATATTTTATTTAGATACAGGGTCTCGCTGAGTTGCTCAGGGCATCGATAAGTTGCTGAAGCTGGCCTCCACCTTGCGATCCTCCTGCCTCAGCCTCCTGAGACGCTGGGATGACAGGCGTGGGCCACCCGCCCGGCCTGGTTTTCCCTTCTCTTTGTCCTGTCTGCACTTGGGCAGGTGTAAGGCAAGCCCAGGTCCCAGGGCTCGGTGTGCTCAGGTCACCTTCAGGAGCACGTGGGGGTCACCCTGTGGACTCAGGCCAGGCAGACAGCCTGTCCCCTCCCCTCATTCCAGGGGGCCTGTCTCCATCTAGAAGGTGCCCTGAGAAAACACACCCAGCAGGCATTCCCAGGTGCAGGCGAAGCCAGCTGACTGCCCCTGTTCAGAGTGACCAAGGTGTCTGTCCCAGGCATAGTCCCAAAGGTGGCCGCTGGCCACCTGGCTGGCTGTGTCCCTGGTCGGCAGGGCCTGCACACCTTTTTCCAAACCGAAGCAGCAGATTCTCCATGGCACGGCCAAAGTAGTACACATTCTCCTCGAGTTTGTTGGCACTCTCCTGTGGCCACAGGACAGGGCAAGGCTGGGCGCCCATTCCCCACTGGGCCCAGTCCTGTCCCATGTGACAGCACACAGCCCAGCACTCTGGGTCCCACGGGGCACTAGCAGGAACCTCCTCCCCTGCAGGAACCCAGAGCCTAGTGCACCCTCCACATGGGACCCTGTGGCTAGGCATCCCCATGGTGGATCCACTTGCTGGGCCTACTCACCCCAAGGCTGGGGTGGACCACTCCAAGGTTGCCCGTCAGCCCCAGGTCCACGGTTCGGCCCAGAGAGTCCCGAATCCTCCGGCCAACCTTTAAGTTCACTGCAGGGAGTTCAGGGTCCTAGGACTTGAGCCCTGACACTGGCTCCTGCTGGCACCAACAGAGCCCCCCACGCACCCCAGGGCCCTGTCGCCCACCCCAGCAAGACATGAAGGCCTCCTGGGCCCAGGGTGACTCTGGGCCTGCAGAGGGCAGCTGGGCCCCTCATGGGGCCTGTGCCTGTGGCATCTACTCCGAGGAGGTCCCCCAGTGAAGGAGGCTGCCAAGTGCTATCTGCAGCCTGGACTCGGGCTTCATAGGACTCTAAAGGCTGCCACCTGGGACCAGGGCAAGATGGGGCAGGAAAGGTGACAGCAGAGGAACTGGCCTCTTGCTGGCTTTGAGAACAGACTCTCTCCTCAATTTTTGAAATGTTGGCCACCCCCGGGGTGGTGACGGGGCTGCCTGTTGGAGGCGGATGGTGCTTGGGGACCGAGGGCTGTGTGACCCTAGGGCAGGCCTGTGTCCCCCGACTGGAGGACCGGCCCCGGCCCGGCTTCCTTGGTCCCGCAAGGCTGTCCCAGAACCGGGCAGCCCTTCCCTCTGCTCTCTGCTGGCCAGGCAGGGCCCTAGAAGCCACCATGGGAATGTCACCTACTGGATCCTTGCGGTCAGGATGTGGCCAGCATGCTGCATGCCCGTCAGGGTGATGAACATCCGGAGAATCTCGTTGGTCCCCTGTGGTCAGCAGGATGGAGGTCACCAGCTGTGCCAGGAGGTGGCCCAGCAGGGCTCCGGGGTTGGCAGGCCAGGCAGCGCCCACCGCCCGCAGCAGTGGCTTCCACCTCACTGGCACCCCGAGCAAGGGACAGGAGGCAGGTGCACAGGGAGGTGCCCATGGCAGACAGTTGGCATGACCTCTCCAGAGGACCAGCGCCTCCCCTGGCCAGCCTCGCAGGGTCACCAGACTCCGTGACCAAAATACCCCCGCTCTCCCCAGTGCTGGGGGCACAGGAAGAACTGGACACAAGGGACACAAGTCCGCTGGCTCTGGGCTGAGGCCAGACTCCTCAGGGAGGCTGCTGATGGCTGGGTGCCACCTTTGTGCCAGGGTCCCTCCTGGCGGGCACAGCCCTGGCCTGGGGTATCCTTGGCCCTGGGAGAGTCCCTGGATCCTCCCACCCATGACCCTCAACAGCGCCAGACCTTGGTCATCAGAAGGGTCTCCTTTTTTACCTCAGTTATCACATCCCCCCTGTCCCTGACCCCTTTCCCAACGTCACCATCTGAGCCAGGCCACGGGGGGAGGTGTGGCTGATGCTTCTAGAAAGATCTCCTTGCTCTCTCTTGCTCTCTCCACCACCCGGGCTCGCCCTAAAGGTCCTGGGTGGGCCTGGCACGTTCTATTTCCCTGTTTCTTGGCCCAAACTACCCCTCTCTAACCCTCATAAGGCCACCTTGTCCCCAAGGGCCAAGGGTACCTGCTTCACAGGACCCAGCTCGCCAGGAGGACACGTCTTGCACTGCACAGGGACCACACACCCTCCTCGGGCATCCGGGGGCACCGAGGTTGACTCTGGCCTGGCCCTGTCTGGTGGTCACTAAGCTGACCCTAGAGCTGGGACCGGAGCCCAGGTCTCCACAAAGTGTCTGTCCCACACCATGTGTTGGAGGGAGCTTGGCGAAGACCCACAAAGAGGTCCCAAGGGACCCTGGGCTCAGGCCTGAGCCGGCTGCTCGGCCTCCCCCAGCCTCTACCCTGGGCCACGCGGAGCTAGGAGGTTCCACAGGAGGCCACGACCTGTCCTGGGCCCTGTGGCTGTGGCTGGGCCCTCGGTAGCACTTCCCAGGTCCAAGGAGGCAGCAAGGGGGGAGGGGGTGCAAGCAGGGCTCCCGGAGACACAGCTGGACGGGTCTCACCTCGAAGATGAGGAGGATGCAGGCGTCACGCAGCATGCACTCATAGGGGTAGTCCTTCATGTACCCCAAGCCCCCCAGGATCTGCAGCACCTCGCTGACGCATTGCCAGGCACTCTCGGAGCTGAACACCTGCGACAGACCAGGGTGAGATCAGCACAGGGGCTCTTGGGGCCAAGTCCCTCCACGAGGACGTGGGCCTGGGGGAGCTGTGGCTGGGGAGGGCTGGGAGGCTCTGTTGGCAGAACTGGGACTTGAGGACGAGACTAACCCCAGGAAGAAGTCACCAGGTGACCATAGGCAAGGCCTTCGGCAAGTCCTGGGACACAGTGACCAGCTCCCTCCAGGACCTCACATCCCTCTACAGCCTTCCTCCACCCCTTCCCCTCCTGGTCGCCTCCTGGGCTTTCAAGAACCACACAGGGCCAGGTGCTGGGTCACACGCCTATAATCTCAGCACTCAGGAGGCTGAGGCAGGAGGATCACAACGTGGATGCCAGCCACAGCCACTTAGGCCCTAAGCAACTCAGCGAGACCCTGTCTCTAAATAAAATAGAAAAAGGGCTGGGGATGGGGCTCAGTTGGTTCAATCCCCAGGACCCCCCCCCCTACACCCTAAAGAAGAGTTCAATTAATTTCAGAGACCAGGGCCTTGTACCTGCTGGGCCACCCACCCAGCCTGCTTGCCATCTGCCATCTTGTTTATTATAGCTAAAAATGACACTCTCCAAACAAAAGCATCGGGAAACTCTGGGATCTACCTTATCGAACATTCCAGAAAAAACATTCTGATACCACCAAGAAGCCCATGAGCTCAAAATAAAAGACGCCCTTCTCAGGAGAGCCCGGCTGCTGTTTTATGTACCCTCATGTGAGGTCATGACAGCTGTGCTGGCTCCTGTGGCTCCAGGCCACCAAGGGCCAGACAGAGGTCAGCACCCTGGGACACTGTTTGCTGCAGCTCCAGCCGCACCCTAGGGCTGCCCTCCTTACCCCTGGAGAGCTTCCCACAGGGCCACAGCATCAGGGCTGGACCAAGGACGAGCTGACCTATAGACTACAGAGAGACCGGAAGTGGGGGCGACACTGTGGGGTGCAGGGAAGGGGCCGCCCTCGGTAGCTCTCGTGCCAGCTCTGGGCCGTGACAGGGTTACCTTCACCATGGCTGCCTCCACGGAGCAGTCAGGTAGCTCGGGCTGGTTGAGCATGCCCACCGTGAGGTAGGCCATGCTTTCCATGACGTAAGCCTTCTGAGCCATCAGGGCGAATTCTCCTGGAAGGTTCAGAAAGACACAATCAGGAAGCAATCTGAGGGTGGGCTGGGGCGCAGGGTGCTGGCCTAGCATGTGCGAGGCCCTAGGTTCCATCCTCAGCACCACAAAAAAAAAATGCCATCTGAGCTAGGTGCACTGGCACGCACCTGTCATCCCAGTAGCTTGGGAGGCTGAGGCAGGAGGATCGTAAGGTGGAGGCCAGCCTCAGCCACATAGTGAGGCCCTGAGCAACTCAGCAAGACCCTGGCTCTAAATAAGATATAAAAAGGGCTGGGGATGGGGCTCAGAGGTTGAGTGACCCTGGGTTCCATCCCTGGCACCCCCCCACCAAAAAATAAATAATAAAAGAATCGAATTGGCTGACACCAGATGCCCCAAAAGTCAGAGCCCCACTTCTAGCATCTGGGTCAGAGGCAGGAGACTGCTCCTCCTGGGTCTGTAGACAGTGGGCACAGGGGACCAACATGGGTTTTAGTCCTGGCACTGCTCTTGTGGGAGCCTGGCCAGGCCCCACCCAACTCTGCCTCCCCCGAGTGGCTGTGATGAGGTAACCAGGGGGTAGGCAGGGGGTGCCCAGCCAAAGCCAGGTCCACTGAGCACCCCACTCTGTGGGAGGGGCCCACTGCCACCACAGGTGCTTGTGACTAAAGCAAGAGAGCCTGGCTTGAAACCTGGGCCCGGGCCCAAGGGGTGTGGCTGTGAATAGGGGGGTTCTAGGGACAGTGGAGTGACAAGCCAGCTCCCAGCCAGACAGCCCCGCCCGAAGCCTGTTCTCTGAAAGCTCCCACTGAGCAGGGCTGAGGGCACCCATCTGTGTCCCAGTGACTCAGGAGGCTGAGGCAGGAGGATGGCAGGTTTGAGCCCAGCCTCAGCCACTGAGTGAGGCCCTGTCTTGAGTCCCCTGATGCTCCAGGGGTATGTGGAGGCCTGCCCGGGCAAGGTGGTCTCCAGGTGTCCACATAGGTACAGACTCATGGGCCCAGGCAGGTCGCTGGCCAACAGAAGAAGAGGGACACGGGGAACGCGGAGGCTCCTAGGCCAGAGTGGGGAAAGCAGGACCAGACAGTGCCACCAAGGGTCCCGGCCCTGACTTACCTACCAATCAGTTTCTTGAGCCACCACGCTGCCCACGCTGAAGCGCCCGCTGTTGAGGATGTTCATGGCCACCCGGTGGGAGCAGGCAGTGAGGGAGGAGGGGACAGACCACTCCAACCTGTTTCCCAAAGAGGGTTCTTCTTTTTATGGCGGGGGGGGGGCTCTCAACCCCTGAGCCCCGTCCCCAGCCCGATTTTGTACTTTATTTAGAGACAGGGTCTCGCTGAGTTGCTGAAGGTCTCATTTTTGCTGAGGCTGGCCTCCACCTTGAGATCCTCCTGCCTCAGCATCCCGAGTAGCTGGGATGACAGGCTGCGCCACCGCGCCTGGCCCCAGCACTATGATTTAAAAACAAAAATTGCCATGGCGACTGGTGAAAAACGATTGCTTTAATATGCAGAGGAAAAGAGACTTCTAACATTTTTCTGGGTTACTAGTGTGCTTACTGCCCTCAGCCTGAACATGAAACGGAATGGCACACTCCAGTGAATCCAGAGGTCTCAGTGTGACCGAAGGCCAGGTGACGTGAGCAGCTGCTGGGAGGGCTCTTTCCTCTTGGGTGGTCAAAAGGTTATATCAATAGAAGCAGCAGCCAAGTGACAGGGAGGGGCTGTTCAAAAACGGACTGAAGAACATAGCTGTAAACATAGGAGGAGGCCATGGCGGGGGCACACCAGCAGCTCAGGAGGCTGAGGCAGGAGGATTGCAAGGTGGAGGCCAGCCTCAGCGACTTAACAAGCCCCTAAGCAACTCAGCGAGACCCTATCTCTAAATAAAATATAAAAAGTTCTGAGGACGGGGCTCAGGGGTCGAGGGCTCCTGAGTTCAATCCCTGGTACCCTTCCCCAAAAAAATAAAAAAAAATAAAAATAAGGACAGTCTTATCAGGAATGTGACAACATCAGAGTGTGGAAACACTGTGCAGCACAAGGATCCCATCCACGTACCCAAAAAAAAGATTGTCATGACTCACGGATGAGTGGAATACACAGGCTGTAATATGCGACACACAAACTACGTAAGTGACATGCGCGACTTCAAGATCTAGAACGCAATGACACTGTGAAGGCAGGCAACTCTGGGAGTGGGCATCCCAGGCTTTCACCTGGGCTGTGTGAGTGACCACCCACACTGCCATCTTTCTCGTCTCTGTCCTGTGATCCCTGAGCACACTCCTCTGTCAGGAACCTGATTCTCGTGACAGCAGGCAGTGAGTGCAGGGGGCTGGGGTAGAGCTAAGTGGTAGAGCCTGCTTAGGTGAGGCCCTGGGCTCAGGCCCCAGCACCTTGAATAGAATCGGGTGGAATGGAAAAGAAAAGGGCAAAGGATTTGAAGAGATATTTCTTCAAAGACTAGCTACAGATAAAGAAAGTGTGGTCTGGATACACAGTGGAATATTATGCAGCCTTAAAGAAGAATGAAATGGTGGAATTTGCTGGAAAATGGATGGACCTGTAGACTATCTTGCTAAGCAAAATAAGCCAATCCCCCCAAAAACAGGGGTGAATGTTTCCTTTGATATGTGGTTGCTGATTCACAATAAGGTGGGGGGCATTAGGGAAGAAGAGAGGTGCTCTGGGTCAGGTGGAGGGGAGTGAAGGGAGGGGAGGGGATCTGGGGGTAGAAAGGAGAGCAGAATGAATTGGACATCGTCACCTTCTGTGGCTACATGACTACATGACCAATGTGAGCCTACATCATGGACACCCAGAGGAATGAGACATCATGCTCCATTTACCTGCTGTCACGGGTCACTAATTTTTAGAACAGAAATGAGAAGACCACATAGAGACGGCTGTGAGCCCGCAGAAAGACGCTGAGCAGAACCGGTCATGAAGACAATGAAAACTTAACCCCACTGAGATCCCACTCGACACCCACAGGATGGGTCTTCATTATTGGATTGGCATCAGCAACAAGGACCCAGCTTTTGACAACAATCCCAGTGGCTTAGGAGGCTGAGGCAGGAGGATCCCAAGTTGGAGGCCAGCCTCAGCAAAAGCGAGGCCCTGAGCAACTCAGCGAGACCCTGTCTCTCGATAAAATACAGAATAGAGTTGGGATGGGGCTCAGGGGTCGGGGGCCCCTGGATTCAATCCCTGGGACCGCTCAAAAAAACACCCCCTACTGTGTGATTCCACTTCTAGGAAACATTCAGAACTGACAGATGCCCTGAAGCGCACAGTCAAGAGGTAGTTCCCAGAGCACAGGGGAAAGGTGGGGCCCAAGACATGGCATCACTCTGGGTGACATCACTCTGGTGTCCTGCAGTCAGAGGGGACGGCTGCGCAGCGTTGTGAGTACGCTGAAGACAACAGACATGTGTCTTACAGTGGCCAATTTGAGGTCATGAGAATTGTTTCTTAATAAGAGAAGAAATCCAAACACTCAGGCTGGGACTCCAGATTAAGGGCTGTGTGTTAGCTTCTCTGGAGCTCAGTGGGGACAGGAGTCACTTCCCTTTCTCAGGATAAGGGAGGCCTTGTGAGGAAGGACGTCCAGGGCTAAGCAAAGACTCCTTTATCTGGGTTTGACTGGTCACCCATTTTGTTTTTTGTTTTTTTTTTTTTTGGTCCCAGGGATTGAACCCAGAGTCACTTAACCCCTGAGCCCCGTCCCCAGCCCTTTTTATATTCTATTTAGAGACAGGGTCTCACTGAGTTGCTTAGGGCCTCACTAAGTGGCTGAGGCTGGCCTCCACCTTGCGATCCTCCTGCCTCAGCCTCCTGAGCTGCTGGGATGACAGATGTGCGCCACCGTGCCCAGGTTGATTCATGTTGCTGACATGCCAGAGAGTTACACCCAGTCACAGGTCAAGCATAGTCCAGTCTGCTAGGAGCAGGGACAGATAGAAAGTGGGACCACCACGTGCGGCTCAGCCAGCTACTCACCGTAAAGCCACCTCCAATTTCTCCAAGGACATTTTCCACGGGGACTTTGGTGTTTTCAAAATGGACCTCACAAGCTGAAATATGAAATGTAAGACTTTAGCAGACAAATACAAACCTCTGTCCCCCGGACTCCAGGCATGTGGTGCACTCATTCTGTTATGGTCTGGATCAATCAACACAATTGATAAGTTATTGATTATAGATTAAAAACTATGGATTAGTAAAATAGTAAGTAGAGCCATAGTGACTCCATCTTTGTTTTTAAGAATTATTAAAAATTTGTGGCTGGAGTTGTGGCTCAGTGGCAGAGAGCTTGCCTACATGCAGGGGGCACTGGGTTCGATCCTCAGCACCACAAAAATGTCAAATGAAGTTATTGTGTCCACCTAAAACTAAGAAACAAACATTTAAAAAAATTTTGTTTTTCTCTGATTCATCCATCTGCAAACATACTTGGACCCAGGATGTGGGGTCCGACTTGCTGTGCTCACTGCTTTTCTGAGCCCTTGAACCCTGGACCCTGGAAAACAATCCCAGTGGATCAGGAGGCTGAGGCAGGAGGATCCCAAGTTGGAGGCCAGCCTCAGCAACTCAGCAAGGCCCTAAGCTACTCGGTGAGACCCTGTCTCTAAATAAAATACAAATTCCATGCAATTCGCAGATTCCATAGGATGTGGTTTTCTTCCTTACCACAGGACCACAGACAGCCTGGCGCGCTTCTGGGAGAGGCCACTGTGCGTGGCAGAAGTGTCCCTGGCCGGGCAATAAGCTCTCTAACTCGTTTTGGATTCGGGTGTCCCCTGAGCGGTGTCCCTGTGCCATTCAGCACATGCAGAGACAGGACGGGGCAGAGCTCCTGTCTTGGTGGAGTTCAGGTGTTAGTCAGGGAGATGAAACTAGAAACTGCTGGCCCCTGTGGGCAGGACTCTGACTCCCTGACGTCACCTGTGCCACCGGCCTTCTCTTGTGGGCCCTGTTCAATAGCAGCAGCACTACTCACCCTAACTTTTGCGGACATGGGGTCCCCACAGAGCTGGCCCCAGGCAGCCCGACCTCCTTCCTCCCAGGCACCTGCCAGGCTGTCTTTAGAGAGAGAAGGTGGCGGAGGGGACTGGGCGGTGGCTCAGGGGCAGAGCACTTGCCCAGCGTGTGTGAGGCACTGGGGTCGATTCTCAGCACCACACAGAAACAAATAAATAAAGGTCCATCGATAACTAATAAAGATCTTTAAAAAAAATTCTTAACTGGTGCTTTATAATTATAGTTCACGCTGGGACTCCCTTTGCCACAGCTGTACATGCATGTGGCATAATTTGCTTCATCTAGAACCTTCCCTCTCCTCCTCCTCCTCCCTCCCCTGATCCACTTGCTCTACTTGATGGATCTCCCTTCTATTATTATTATCATCATTATTTAAGTTACTGCATCATCCATTACATACATAAAAGCAGGACTCAGGCTGGGTGCAGTGGCCCACGCCTGTCATCCCAGCAGCTCAGGAGGCTGAGGCAGGAGGATCACAAGGTGGAGGCCAGCTTCAGCAACTTAGCGAGGCCCTGTCTCTAAATAGTTTTAAAAAGGGCTGGGGACAGGGCTCTGTGGTCAAACTCCCCTGGTGAGCCTCACTGGGCCCTTCATCTCCCTCCAGCTTCCACAGGGGAGAACAAAACTGTGCCCTCCGACTTCCTGAGCCCAAAGCCAAGGTCTAGAGGAGCTGAGGCCGAGAGCAGCCCCTTCCTCTACCACCCGGTTCTGCACCACCGGTCCCCGGCCCCACAGCGACTGTGCGGAGGGCTCCGGTGGAGCTCAGGCTCCCTGGGCCTCAGGCAGGGAGATGCTGTGTGGGATTCTGCCACCTGGAAGGCAGGGTCCCAACAGAGGTGGGCCCAGGAGTGGCCGTGGGAGCATGCGGTCCCCTCCAGGAGGCACACCGAGACCTCAACTAGAAGGAGCAGGAGGACCCCAGGATGGGTGGATGGATGCAGGCCAGAGAAGGACCCCTGCCTCCAGTGAACGGCGCTCAGCAGGGCCAACAGGTAGGCTTGGGAGGGCAGGAGGGGATGCAAGAGGACGGAGGGTCCAGCAAGGAACAAGGGGGTGGCTTGTCCTAGGATTTTACCTACGACATTTTTTCTTTTTGGTACCAGAGATTGAACCCAGGGGTCCTTGACCCCTGAGCCCTGTCCCCAGCCCCATTTTGTATTTTATTTAGAGACAGGGTCTCCCTAAGCTGCTTAGGGCCTCACTGTTGCTGAGGCTGGCCTCCACCCTGCAATCCTCCTGCCTCAGCCTCCCGAGCCTCTCGGATGACAGGTGTGCACCATCGCACTGGCTTACTCAGGACACTGGCTGTCGGCCTTTGTGGTTTCTGTTCCTCTGATGGCCTTATCCCTCTGGAAGCCACCAAAGCTTAACACACAGAGTGGTGCCCAGCCAGTGACTGCAGAATAAATGAGTAATTTCCAGGAGCTCACCTATCACCAGGGAAGTCTTCAATGGCTTTCTACCAACAATGTTGACTTCATGCCCAAACTATTTATTTGTGACTGGGAACTGAACCCAGGGAGTACTTCATGACCAAGCTGCACCCAAAGTCCTTTTTATTTTGAGACAGAGTCTTGCTAAGTTGCTGGGAGTTAAATGTGGAGGCTGGCCTCAAAGTTGTGATCCTCCTGCCTCAGCCTCTTAACTCAGGTGTGTGCCTCCTTGCCTGGCTACGTAAGGATTTAAATCTTATTTACCTGGATATTTGGACAGACCAGAGGGCCAGACACACACTGTCACATTCATACACACACATGGACACCCACATGACTTACTGTTGGAGCCCCGAATGCCTAATTGATCCTCCGGTTTCCCATTAGTGACTCCACCAAAGTCCCTTTCCACTATGAAAGCTGTCATCTTGTCTTTTACTGAGCCATCGGAACTGACCACCTCAGTCTTGCAAACACAGTGAAAATGTTGGCCAGTCCCCCATTGGTAATCCAGACCTGAGGACAGAGAGCAAGGGGTCCTCAGAGACTCCTCTCAGCTCTACCACCACCTGTGAGGCCCCAACTGAGGCACTTATTTTCATCTTTTTTTTGGCACCAGGGATTGAACCCAGGGGTGCTTGACCCCTGAGCCCTGTCCCCAGCCTTTTTTACATTTTATTTAGAGACAGGTTCTCGCTGAGTTGCTGAGGCTGGCCTCCACTTTGTGATCCTCCTGCCTCAGCCTCCTGAGCTGCTGGGATGACAGGCGTGTGCTTTACTTCGACCTTCATTCAAGAGGCATGAGCTAATTTGGGAAATCTGAATGGCAACTAGATAGTAAGAAAGCAATAACGGTATCCCAGCTCTCTCTCTTAGGGGTCCGTGTTTGAACTGTGACAGATGCAGTCAAGAGGCCATCTTGATGGAAGAGACCCAGCCAGCTGTGAATGGGTACCTGATGGCCTGTGCTCAGTCAAGGACCGGCACCGTCCCAGACCTACTGATGCATGAAATTCTATGCAACTAAGACTTCTGGCTCCGGGTGCAGCTGGTACTCCAGCATCAGGGACACTGTGGCCAGGCCTGGCTGTCACCAGAGGGACAGAGGACCTGTGCAAGCCACTTGAGGACTGAGCACTGCTCCTGAAAAAGGAGGAGCATCCATCTGCTGGGTAGTCACCAGAGGGTCACAGACCTGGGCACAGGAAGAGGCCCAGCAGTGGCAGTGAAGGCGGCCACCGAGACCTGACAGGGCGGGGTGGTGAGGCTGTACCTTGGAGCCATTGAGGACATAGTGTTTCTTGTCTTCACTTAGCATGGCCCTGGTCTGGATGGAGGCAGTGTCACTCCCGCTGCAGAGACAGAGAGACGTGGGTGAGACGTGGGGAGAAGAACCCTAGGAATACACCAGAGTCAGCCGAGAGCCTGGAAATGGAGGGTCTTAGGAGTTAAGTCCACAGGAGGCGACACAGCCTCTAAACACAGGGTCAGACGATATACAGGGTCAGCTTGGCAAGGTACAGCTTGTCCCACCCCCACGCTGCTGCTGCTGCAACATGAAAGTGCCTCTCAATGTAGACTATAAGCACATGGCACATTCCAGTAAAATTTTCTTTAAAGCTGGGTGCTGTGGTGCACACCTGTCATCCCAGCAGCCTGGGAGGCTGAGGCAGGAGGATCGCAAGGTGGAGGACAGCCTCAGCAAGTCAGACAGGCCCTGAGCAACTCAGCAAGATCCTGTCTCTGGATGACCATTCCAGGTTCCCCTGTGAAGGGAGGCAGCATTAGGCACAGCCTGATCACAAGACCTCAACTTGAGTCCTACCCAGCCCTGTCCCCATCTAGCTATGTGATGCCCCCCACGGAGCCTCCAGCTCCTAATCTGAAGATGGAGACCCACCGTGCGCAACCCGCATGTTCTGAAAGGTGCCTGGATGCCCGTATGTGTCCCGAGGGCCAAGGGGGCTGTCAGTAACAAACACCAGGGTGACATAGGCTGGCGGGTACTTATCTCGTTGGGAAACAAAAATTAGGCATAGATAAGAGAAGTGGCCAGAGAGCAGCTTCAAGTCTCTGTGAGGCCTCAGGTGGGGACAGAATGAGGTCAGCCACTCCTGATAACAGCCCTCTGTCCCAGGGAACCCTGGACATGGCCCATGGCTGTGGGAGTCGGCTCAGGGGATGGCGGACCTGGCTGGCTCAGTGAGGCAGAAGGCAGCAATGTGCTCCCTGACGCCAGTATGGGCAGGTACTTGGCCTTCTGTTCTTCGGTGCCAACCAAGATGATTCAAAGAAACGCACAGACATTTTTTATTTGTTCCTTTCGGCCACAAAGGGCGGCAGAGTGCATTCTGGGACATATCACACCTACACGGGGGTGTGACTTCCCATTCCTGTGGCTGGACCTGCTGTGGGGTGCCCCTGGTCGTGTGATCCTATGTGAACATGGGAAAGTGACGTCCATTCATTCCCCTGTCTCACCCAGTCCTCTCCCCTCCCTTCCCTCTACTCCCCTGCATCTCATCTAGTGAACTGCTGTCCGCCCTCTTATTGTGGGTCAGCGTCCCCATATCAGAGAGGACACTCAGCCTTTGGTTTTTGGGACTGGCTTATTTCACTCAGCATGATCGTCTCCAGCTCCATCCATTTACCAGCAAATGTCATCATTTCATCCTTCTTTAAGGCTGCGTGATATTCCACTGGGTATATAGACCACAGTTTCTTTATCCATTCAACTGTTGAAGGACACCTCGGCTGGTCCTGAAGTCTCCAGACTGTTTTCCATAGTGGTGACACCACTGGCACTCCCAGCACTGTGTGCGTGAACCTTTCCCCCATATCTTTGCTAACATTATATCACTTGTGTTCCTGACAATCGCCATCCACAGGCTTGTCTTGGCTGTGAAGAGCCGAGAGTGAGTCCTGATGTCCCTCGTGAGGATGATGCTGACGTCCTGCCAGAAAGGACAGCAGGCATCCAGAGCTGACGGCCGTAGGTGGGGGCCGGCTGCCGAGAGGCCC